TTGTAGTTGTCTTTTAGCAAACTCCTAAACTGCTAAACAGAAGTTCTAACCTGTAATACGATGCGAATAAAGTATTTGCAAACAGGTTAATCCAGCAACCTAGTACACAATATCATCTTTTTACTACAAGCAGCTGTGCCATCGACACTTCTCTTCAGTCCATTACATATTTATTTAAAATCCACCTTAAAGAAATATCAGTGACAGCACTCGCTATAGGCAAGTACACAAATGAAAATACTCGAACTCATACCAGAAAAAAAATGGTAAAAAATGGTATTGGAACAACCTCAAATAAAAAAAAAAAGTGTGAACCATATATATAAACTGGGGTTCCAGAATGAGCTCTCTAATCAGCTCTCTATCAGATTTAGGTTGTGGTGGGGTTTTACTGTATTCATTCAAGTTCTAAACTGAACCATATTAAAACGTCATGACCCATACAACAGAGGCCAACTGTAGGTACTGATGTTTTAAAGTGATAAAATCAAGGGTCTTAGTCTGCAGTGTTCCCACTTCAAAAGGCACAACCAGAAATCTTGGTTCTGCTCTTAAGGTTCAAGATATGTTCATATGTCTTCCTTTACACCGATTCCCATTCCATTAATCTCCGCTACTTGGCCTTGTGATCACTTTAACTGAGTGGTTTCCTTACGCTAATGTTTTAAATTTGTCTGTTGCTTCCCAGACGTAGTAAATAATGCATGTAAATAGATAAACACAATAGCTGTTGCAGGTCTTTCTTGGTCGTTATCTTGATTAATATTTATTAATGTTTATGTGTAAGATACTGTACAGCCAGAGGGGGTGTGAGCAGCAAGCTTCATTGTACCAACAGCATATCTCCTTATAACCTATGTATGTTGTGAAATAAATCATGCATGAAGCCCATCAGAGGAAAATAGCAGCAACATGATTATCACATTTAGTAAACAAAACTAGAGTCTTTATTTCACAAATGGCACCACTGAGTGCTTACTTCTACTCCTAGTATTAAACATATGCTCATAAAGATGTCACTCTGGTAGGGAATGGGAAAGAACTTACCTTTTCGAACAACAACATGGTAAAATACTAAAGACTGTCTTTCTTCACACCCTACCATATAAATAAAAATATGTTCATATAAATATGTGTTTTTAGGCTAATGACTAACTAGTGAGTTATCATGTCCAGTAGGGCGGCAACATGTTATATGGCGTACTCAGCCTGGGTTCTTGCTTGAGGCTATATGTCTTCAGTTCACTTGTTTCAATTGTGGTGCATGCTTAGACATTGAAGCCCCCCAAATAAACATTGTGTCCATGATGTTTGGTAAAATATAGATATTAAGATGATATGTTGCTTTTACATTACTTGACTTTTTGCTTTATTTGCTGAAGAATTTTCAAAAAAACAACTACATACAGTAAATCTTCCTCCCAACGTGTACATTGGTATGCTGCAGTTTTGCTGAAGAGAACTTTGAGCTTTCAAAGAATGGATATTATAGACTTTTATAACATTGGAAGAAAAAAAATGCATATTTTTGTCTTACATGTTTAATTGTTGAAGTGCATTATTATCATATAAAATGTTGAACCAACAAAATGTTGCAATATCTGATGTCTAGACAGGAAATTCTCTCATTTTTTTCAAATGTATACAGCTGTTGCAATATCTGATCTAGACAGGAAATTCTCTCATTTTTTTCTTCTCTTCTCTCACATCTCTTTTTTTCATTGTCACTCATTCTCACTCTGAGGCAAAAAATGAAACCACAAACTGAAGCAAGAATAAAAGACACACCTGCCAGACATGTTGCAGACATGTTGTTGACTGCAACATATTTTTATGAGGCCAGGGGCCTTTCTGAATGTCAGGAGCCAACGATCATCCATATTTGATGGTCCTGTGAGCCCATGCAGACAACTGCAGCTCAGTATCGATCTCAAATCAGCAGCCCAAGAGTCAAAACAGAAATGATGTGAGCACATCAGTGGCACAATGCATCTTTCAGTAAAGATTCACTCTGGGCTGCAGCCACACTTGTTTTAAGACAGTGAAGTTATCTGTCCAAGTCTTTTAATCTAAAAGGGTTATTTCTTTTTTTCTTTTTTATCTGAAACAGTTTAACTTGAAGGGTGTTGACTTGTTTCTATGTATAAAAAAATACACCTGCTGTTTTTTTTTTGTTGGTTTTTTTTTTTGCTGTTTCTTTATTTTTTTATTTTATCACATTTCCAGGCAATGAATGTTCCTGTGGAGACGGAAGCATTGATTTCTATGAGCTTTTAAGGCCACTCTGTACTCCAAAAGGCCTGATATAGTTGTTGGTGCATGAGATGAATAGTGTTCAAACCAAAGCCTGATTTATACTGTTGCAAGTACAGTCTCAAGCAGGTATGTTATTTATCTTACTTATGTATTAAATCTTTTCATATTTTCATCTATAGTTGCTAACAACATGCATCCAAACTATAAACTGAATCTGGGAACATTTTCAAAAGTACTATTTAGGTTAAATTGGTATTGCCTTTTTTATCTCAGACTTGTTTTCCGCCATGTCTTCTGAAGCAGGTAGAAAAGAGAGGGAAGCTGTCAGTGAGTTATTGCAGAAAACATGAAGAAAACTGACTTTTCTCTCTCCAGTCTCATTATATTATTGGTCAAATAATAATATATAGACCCATATATAAATACACATACTTGTAAACTTGTAATTAGTATAAAAACATATATTTTTTTAATTTAACACATTTGAATCCTTCCCATAGTGCTCTAGCTTTGTCTTTCTAACACACTCTAGGTTACATTTACATCTGTCCTCCAATCAGACCCACACACTAACCTTTATGTAACTCTGGCAAAGAGCAAATTTAAATCAGTTGCATAATAAAAATTTAAATAAAGCTTGAAATGATTCATGGCCTTTGTATTTTGTAGGCAGGTTTCACCACAGGGGTTCTGACTATCTCCCAAGTCTGCAGCTTAATTAGTTTCACAACCTTTTTTGTTGTAAAAATCTAACTTTACATTATTTCTTAATATTTGGTTTTGTAATTTTACATCTTAAAAAGTTGCTACCAGGCTACACTTATATCATTCAAATTATCGTCACTTTGAATCAAGTCAATGCCATAGTGAGAAAAGTCAGATGTAATGTTAGAGGTGCCTTATTTTTTTCTACCAATGAAGTTTAATTTCTAATTGAGTTTTAAGAGCTACGCTCACTTTTTTAGTAGGGTTGATGATTTCAATGTGATGAATCATTCTTCTGATAAGGTATACTAGATGAAAGCATAGTTTCTGTGGATGGATGGATAGATGGATGGATAGGTTGTTTAATAGCTGGGTTGGCTGATGAATGGATAGATGTGTATTTCGGTAGGTGCATAAAGAGACTGATGAAAAACTTCTTTTAAAAAGCTTTTAAAAAGCTTTCTGTACTGCAGAGGCACATCTGCAACAAAAATGTTTGATTATTTTTTATTTTTATTTTTTATTTTTCTGTAGTGGCTCATTGTTGATGAAAACAAATAAACTGTAGGAGACTGGAAAGAAATTGAAGTGACGTTGACTTTTTTCTTTGAAGATTTTTCTTTCTCCAGACATAGAATTTGCATCTCAGCTGCCTGTGGCTAGATGAGCAGAATAAAACAAACTGAACCTTGAGGAGTTTGTTAAAATATTTAACAGCATGAATCAATCCTTTCTGATGTTGATGTGATGGTGCTTCAGATATTTGTGTTGTTTGGTGTATTGATTTGTTTTTGGATTACCATGTTGTAATGATTCACACCTTCAGTTAACTTCTGGGTAGCAGAAGTTGCCTTAATTAAAGAGAAGAAAAAACTGTGTAAATAAAGCCAAAAAAAGCTAAGGAATAATTTTTCTCAAGTCTTTTGTAGAACTTAATCATGAAAGTCTACCATAAATTGTACAAGGGCTTTTCTATGCTCTTTAACAAAGAAATAATTAAGGAGTAGAGGTCTGTAGTTAGCAGAGAACTGCACAATTTGGAAAAGAAATCAGAGGAAGAAAACAGAGTATGTGAGGAAAAAACACACGAGAAGATCGTTTGTAATTCTAAATGCCAAACAGTAGTGAAGTGACTATAATTTAGTAACAGCACCATATCTGAAACACACACACATTACACAATAATGTTGAGCATATAAACTGGGCGTGCTGGTCCATTCTTGGTTTTCTGTTAATATTCCAATAAAAGCCAGGGCTCACTTTATCTCCTGAGAAGTTAGGGACTGAATGGAGCGTAAGTACTCTCTCTCTCTCTCTCTCTCTCTCTCTCTCTGGACAAATGTCACTGAAAATATAAGGACATTACTGTCTAACATACTGGAATGGAGTAAACAGCACAAATATATCACTTGCTGTATGGTCGTGGCCAAATGTCGAACTTTTCTGAGAATTTTTACTTTGGATGTGTACTTAATCATTTTTGACTCAAAGGTTAGGGAGCTCAGCTGGGTCTAATTCCTGTAGACAGATGTGAGTATGATGATTTATGGAGGAGCAATAAAGTAAATATAGCAGATATTGCAGTTCCTCATAAACCTGTTCTATGAATGTCAGTGGGCATCGACATGGTCACTCAGCAGATCATAGCAGCTCTTTGTTTTACTTTTCTGTTTAGCAAAGCTCAAACACAATTGTCTGTGTCTATCCCTGCTTATTACATTACTTATAAAATGCAGCTCTTCAGGGTTTATTTCTTTCTAGCTTTAAACATTTAAGACCATCACTTAAAGTACACTGAACAAATATTTCCAAAAAACCTTTAGAATGTTTACTGATATTACTAATGTGTACACACAGGGAGAGAGGTTTGGGCTGTTTTCCTGTAATTTCAATCACAGAAACAATATTTAAAATTATTTTTAAATTCAGATGCCAGATGATATATTTTTAAAGAGATGTTATATTTTCTCTTTTATATTATCTATGCATTTTTGACATGTCAGTTCTTTATTCTGATATTTTGTTCCATTGATTTTCAGATTTTTCTGTTGCTGTCCAGAAGTTCTCCCAGTCTTTGCAAGAGTTCCAGTTCGAGTGCATTGGTGATGCAGAGACAGATGACGAGGTGAACATTGGTAAGGTTACTTTGGCTAATTTTGTCAATATTTGTAAACACAAATATTATCCTAATGTTTTATACTGGGTGATAGGAAATAGCTTTCCTTTAAATCACAAGGCAGAATCCTAGAATAGTATTTGACTTTGTGTATAGATCCCAAAGTTGTCTGCTGCACATGTATAATTAATACTATTGATTTGCTTTTGAGGCTTCCCTTGTTTCTCCTCAAGCTTTAACCAAGATCAGAAGGACTAATTGTGATCAGTGTCAGAGATTAATGGAGGTGCGATCCTTGTAGCCTCCATCAGGAATGTGGAAACAGCTGTGTCGAGTTCTTTTGGCTCTAATGGGCAGGTCTTCCAGTCTGGGCCTCTTTTCTTTTTATTCACTCCTCATTATCGCTGACCTAAGCTCTGTGAAGCTAAAATCTGCTAAATTACTGCCATAGAGAGCTGGAGTACACACATATGAGGATATGTGAGGGCCACTCCCATGTCTCAGATAGCACTGCAGAGGCTTTGAGATGGCGATTATTGCAGTTAACCAAATACTTGCTTTTCCAATCACTTACATTTCAAATAGAGATACAACCTTTCTGTAAAATAAGACAAGCTAAATGTAATCAGAACATTTTTGGTAAACTCAAACTACCATAAAATTCACAAAATGAGACAGTGAAATGTTACTACTGTGCTCACATGGTAGGCAGTCTGCATTTCTGTCCATTTGTTCACTGCCCGTTATATTTAAATGATTGTTTGTTTTGTGCTACTGTACTTGTCAGTGACCTCGTTGTTTTGCAAATAAAAATTCACTTTCAATGTTTATATCACAATTTAAGATACATTTTATGTCGTCTCAGAGAGAAAAACTAAATAATGTTTGAGGGAAATGGCATCAGCCTGTTGAAATCAATCTATTCGTCAATGAAACAGAGTTTTCTGACTGACATGGCTAGACCCCTGTGTGAATGCCAGCCATATCTTGATGCAGTATTGGTACAGTTCACTTTGATGCTCCCAACTTCCCCACATAACATCTAGATCCACCGTGTGCTGCCAGACGGGTTCATCTGACCTTTTATTGATTTCACTCTATGACTCCTTGCAGTGACATTCACATTTCATGCCTTATCAAGAAATCAATGGAAACAAAGATTGCTGTTGCTATAGAAATTTAAATTTTTTTTTGAAAAGTTCTGTGCTCTTCTCTCATAAGGTCAATGCTATAGTTATGGCTTTCGGAGATTAGCTTCAAGAGAAAATATTCTGGAGAAAAATAGCATTTAAACCTATGGTTCCAAGCATTTATCTAGCTTAACTAAAGGTAACGTTTGTGCACTACAGACGAGTTAATGTAAAACAGTATCATTAGGCGCTCATCAGTGTGCTGCAAAGATCGCAAAATAATAAATATTATTAAAAAATAATATTATAGAACAACACTGAAACAAATGATAAAAAATAAAAAATGCAAATAATAATTTACATAATATTAAAACTCTATAACTGTAGTTGACTTCTCTCATTTTAAAATAAATTCTCCCCAGACTTTTATTTTGACATGTGTCAAGAGGCATATGTAAATAACCAACAATCACTTTTAGATAAGACAGTTTGAAAAAGGTGAACTGCATTTAGTGTCAGAAATACATGATTTTGGCACATATTGAAAGTTAGTTAAAAAAAGTGGAAAGAGACTAAATTAAGCAAAAACAGAGCTGGCTTGTAAAATCAGTGATACATGTGACAATTGGAAATCAATTAAAAAGGTTAACTTCCTGCAGTACAGTGACCATATCATTTTAATATTAGAAGGACTTTGCAAGGTCACAGAAAACTAATCTTTGCTTCTCCAGCACAGGTGTGTTCCAAACCTGTGCTTTACATTTAAAAATGTGTTATCAATTTGTCTGTGTATATTTAACATAAATGTTGATACATTTGCCAAATGTTGTTTAGTACTTGTGATGTGTGATAATTTGTTGTGATAGAAATTTATATATATTTTTTTTTTTTTTTTTTTTTTTTTTTTTAGCACAGTCTTTCAAGGAGTTTTCCCAGCTCCTAAACACTGTAGAAGAAGAAAGAAGACGTCTGGTAAGAATCCAACTTTGATTTTTCCCTTTCAGACCAGAATGTAACGGTAGAATTTTCTGTGAGTAAAGTTAAAACAATTTTCCCTCATCAGTGTTTCATTAAAAAGGGTATACGTGTGATGCTTTAAGCACAAAGGTGTGAAATTAGACATTTTTCTGACAGGTATATAATTAATATTCTATATACAGGGAGATAGAAACACCTTTACATTTTTGTTGTGCTTTTTGTAAACAGGGAGACAGTAAGGGCTTTGACTACTGATGGCAAAAATAAGCCTTGAGCTGTGCTCCAGCAAGTTAACCCGAGCATGTGAAACAAAGGGCAAAGAAGGAGGAGCTCCTTCAACTGTGAGATTTCTGTTCAACAGGTCATCTGCTCTGATACAGTAGTATAATGCACTTATGGGCTATAGGTGTTGTGTGAGGGAGACTTTCATTTTTGTTTGTTAAGAGCTAACACTGCACTTTGATTACCATTGTTCAAACATGCAAATTAGCATGACGGTTAAGTTGTATGATGAACTACACAGCCACCACGAAAGTCACCGCTTCACGTAAATAAACTAAACTCTCCTCGGTCTGCCTCCCACCCCTCTCCTCCCTCTCTCCCACACACCTGCGTCAACCATTGCACATCCCTTCCTCTGCATACCACGCTGGCTTTGATCTTGTTGACAGTCGCTGTAACAGTCTGTTCGTGGAACTTTTCTTCCTTCCCGTCTGCTGCAGCCAGAGACTAAAATGACGGAATGAAAATGAATAACTAGAATGGAAAAATCCCTAAGGCAGAAATCCTTTATCTGCAACAGGGATTTCAAGCTTTTATCATGGGCCCTTTTTAAAAACAAATGCCCCTCAGACTACCAACCAGTCGTGTTGTCTTTGGCAGCTCAATGCCTTAGTAGCCAAATACTTAGGTGTTTTTTAGATAGTCTGTATAAATCTCTTAGCTGATGTTTTTTTTTTTTTTTTTTTTTTTACAGCCTCCATTTTCACTCCCTACCTCAGAATATCCTGCCTCTTACCAGGCAACATTTGTAAATATTAATATTTTTAGTAAATAAATACATTTAATAAATACATTAAAGTAAAAAATATAATTTGGAGTTTGTTAACATATTGGTCTGTATTGTTTAGAATTGATTATTAGGCAGGACTGGAGTGTCCCATATCACCTGTCTCCACAGTGTGATTATAGTCATTGGTTGGCTGTCAATGTCAATGACATTTAGAGCAGATTAAACTGTACTAGACGGTCTTTTGTTCTTTGGTTTGACTGTTTTCTGGAGCCAACTGTAAAAGAAGACGTGAATAGGACTAACACGCATGAGCAAGTGTCTGCAGATTTCTACTGCAATTGATACAACATTTGAATAAAATATATAAACTACCATTTAGTTACTGTTTTAGAAGCATTGAGTGATGTAGTAATTAAAATTAAATGGATTGCAAATGACCTTGGGCTGGATACAAAACAACCAACAGTGTATTTCAGTGTATTTTCTTCACAGTCCAAATCAATTTGGTGTTGTTCAATTATACAATTGGTAAGTCCTCATCAGAAGCACTTTTTAGCACATTTGACACACCCTGTACATTACACATGATGAAGGTTGGTGATCTGCACATGCTTTTAATGCAGGAATATTCCTTTATGCAGCACAATTTTTAGAATGGATTTCAAATCGTTTTATGTTTACCAGTAAACCTCAGCAGTTCTATCAGGGATCAATCAGTTTTGTTTTTTTTGTTTTTTGTTTTCTGACACAAGCACAATATAAATCAATGTTGCAAAGTCTGGCTTCTTTTACTGTCTCTTCTTGATGCAGCTAGATACACAACTGCATCTGTCCAAATCTGGTCAATAACTTATTGCTTTTCTATAAAAGATGTTTCTGTGGCAATGAACAAATTGTTTCTTCTCCGGAGAGAATGAAAAGACAGAGATTTGCCTTTACTAACTGTCTGTAATATTTTTACCAGACAGGGTAATGTTTAGCTGTCTGTATTTTTTATTGTACAAGGGTTAAGACTAAAACCAGTGTAAAATTCCAGTTTTCCATGTGTTAGTTGGATATATTATTATGCCAGTAGTGGTCTGTTGCAGACTGCATCATGTTCTTGGTGTTCTCCACATTTTGCTGGAACAGCAGCGTGTTCTACATTCCTTGAAAACAGTTCCACCTGTGAATGTGCACTCATCAGCAAACATGTCCTGGGCGAGGCTGACTTTCCTGGTTAACAGAAAAAAAAGTTCATGTACCATATATTCTATATTGGTATTTATTTATTTTATTTTCGTTTTGCTTGATTTGAAATCATTGGGTCATGAATTGCATTTCACAAAACATACCTTCACTTAATGTCTGAACAAGCAGAAAAGCAGAGAAGTGTGAAAAACTATACACTGTGTGGTTGTGAACGTTCCTCAGCAGTAGATCCTAAACTGAAACAGAGACTTTTTTATCCCCATATTTTTCTTAACACATCTGGACAGAATGTGGAACTAAAAATAGAAAAACAAAGACTGATAGGATTTAGTAGAGCTCCAACATTTAAAAAAGAACAGAATGGAAACCAGAATGCCCCAAACTGAAGCCCAGCTCCTTTGTGGAACGTTATCTCTCATAGTGTGTTTTCAAGGGGAGTCTGCTGCATTCAAGACACTCTTATACCAGTTGTCCAATTTCTGCAGGTCCTGTCAAGCATGACCCGGTCTATTGTCTGTTGGCTTGGCAGGTGGCCATGCCTGAAATCTTTTTGCTTGTTGACTTTGTGATTGGCTTTCTAACTACTCATGTGTGCTATTCTGTGTGAGAACTTCCAGAATTTCTACCTTTCGTACAGAGACTTCGGCAGATATTCCCCTGTTGATAAACCTTTCAGTTGAACTAAAGTGTCAAACTGGTTCAAGTTCTGCATGGATTGAGAAGGTTCAGCGCTGCTAAGCATGGATGACATTTAGTAGTGAAAGGGCAATGGCCTCTTGTTGTGGTTTTTGGAGTGTTGATCAAATCCCAATAGAGGAAGCCTTTCCACTCCATACTGTGGGCCAATATTTTCCAATTCTTTGGGGTGATTAACAATGAAATGAAGGATGTAATGATTTTAGTTTTACTTTCAAAATTACACTACTAAATCAAGCTTCACAGAACATGATACCAACAATAGACAGCTAATTTAAATTTTCTCTTATTAATCTTATTTAAGTTTGTGTTTTGCTTTACTTATACAGAATTAACCATATCATTTTTAACTTTTTATTAAGTCATTCATTTGGAACTAGTGTATGCTGAATCATATGAAAATAATATTAATATTATTTGGTAGAATTAACTTTTCTTCTGGACTTGGGCATAGAAATCTAAAGAATGGCAACATTTTTGTAAAATAATATTAACAGGATGCAGACAGTGGCTGTACTTTTTTTTTTTTTCATCACAAAGACGGCACAATTTTTACTGTCTGAGGCCAAACTGTGCTTAGTCCCCATTGCACTAAAAGGCTCCAAATGCAACATCTTGTTAAGTTAAATTGAAAAAAAGAGAAGAAAAGTTACACAGGTCTCAATGATGAAAATGATGCTCTGTAGACAATGAAGCTTAAAAGCATAAAATGATTCAAGACTGGCTGTTTATTACACAAAGCCAATATTATACACTGATAGAAAGGTGAAGAAAATACTGTTAAAGTACATCCATCAGTCATAGAAACAGAACATACTATAGACAATTTAGGGAAAAGGCTGGTATTCAAAATGTGTTCGAAGCGAGCCAGTGGAACAAAATAGCACATTTTGTTTTCCACTTCTTCCAGACTGTACCTGTGACATTTCCCATTCTCTTCTGGGAGTGCATGGATGAATCTGTTTTACTGCCAGAGGGCAAGATGCCTCATTTTAACAGGGCAGAGATATACCTTAGTTCTCTGGTCAGGTTAGCAGTAGCAAGTGCTGAGAGTGGAGAATACACCAAGAAAAATACTTTTTTATGTAATAAATCATTATTGGGCATACTTAAATATTTTGTATTTATTTACATAGATCAGTGGAGGCTTAAAGCAATATATTATATATCTATAAGTTCACCAACAAAATTGCTAAAAGACGTTGTAAAATAAGGCAAAAATAATAACTAATTCCATCAGAACAATCAATATAATTGCTCATTAGCCACGGTAACTTTGGGATTCAGGTTGTCAACATCCAGGCTTGAAAATGCTAGTACAGTGAAAAGTTCTGAAGTGGTGTTTTGTCTGCTGCAGCCACTGTTTTAGTGTATTTAACAGTACAGTAACTCTGCACTCTGGATACCTTGTGCGACCGTCTATGAACTAAGGAATGTCCCATTGACCCTGAAATAACAGAGTGGAATGAAAGCAGCCATTGTTCCGGGCAGCATTGATGTTGCCTTGTTTAATGATTGTCTCCAAAGTATTTGGGAACAACGATATAAAGCCTGTGTGTACTTCCCAAACACATTGCTAAAAATGAACCTGTGCATGAGGCAGGGTTTCACTTAATACGAAATGAGTCAGTGCAGTCACTGATACCAGTATTGAAATATACTAATAAAAAGTACTGATGCTAGACACTTTACAATATATCCAATTAATATATACATTAATATATTTATCTGTCAAGGCTTTTGCATTGATATCATTGTGTCCATACAAATGATGGAACAATCGTCTTACCTTACAGCAGAATTATGTTAATGGACCCTATTACCAGACTCTAGGTATTGATGATGAGTGTGAATGATTGTTTTTCTCTAAATTTGGCTTAGTAATGGACTGGTGAACTCAATGGTCAACAGTGGACTTTACCCTCACTGTATTTCCATTAAATACTGTACTCAGAAGATAACTGGATAACAGAATAAGTCTGATGCCATGGGGAGATGGAAGCCGGTATGTATGGATGCATATTTAAAATATCCTTATTTAGTTAGCTGAGCTAAATACCTAATTTAAGAGTCACTATAGTAAACAGTGCAGGTC